GGACTCCCAGGCCCCCATTTGGATGTGTGGGCCAAGGAGCAGGGATGCGGAGATCTGCCTGTGACCACTGACTGGCACACGGCTGCTCCCGGGTCGTGTTCGGGGGTGGGGTGGGGTGCGGCGCGCACATGGTCCCCCAGCAGTGCGGGGTGAGCCGCCAAGCTCGCTCCTGTGCCGCTGAGGTTTCCCTGGTTTTAAACAGGGAGAGGCTGACCCAGAATGATACGTGCGGCTACCCTGCAGACGGACAGGGAAGAGAGGCCCTGATGTCAGGCACTGTCCGCAGAGAACCGAGCATCTCCTTCCTTCAAAGGGAGCAGACATGGCGGAGAAAAATACGAATCCATCCTGGGAAACGTCGCTGGCAGCACGGAATACCGCATTTCTCCTGTGGGAATCAAGAATCCGGCAGCTTTGTCACCAGCCCTGCTCAGGGGAAGGCGGCGGAAGAGAGGAGTGCCCAGCGGTGACGGCGCCTTCCCTTCAGGGCAGCACAGACCGACCTGCGGGCACTCCGCTCCTGCGCTGAGGTCGGGCGGGCTGGAAGCTCGGCTCTGCAGGGCAAGCTCTCTCACTTCCCAAATCGCAGAGGAGAAGAGGCGAGCACAGGGCCTCTGACCCGGTGGTAATCAGATCGGGACTCTATCCCATGAGGGGTGGGCTGGCCAGAGCCCTGGGACCGCTGCGCCGATGACCTAACCCTGTGAGGAGCCTACACCCCTTGAACCCTGGCCTGTTCTGTGTACACGGGAAGATGTGTTCCCACATTCTGCTTATCTTCGCCAAGAACTGACTCCTCTGTGACTCCTCTGTGATGCCTCACGACACCTAGAAGGAGCCACCCCGATGGAGAAGTGCATCTGCTGAGTCAGGCTCACGTGGCCACCCCAGCCATGAGCCTGGCACCACTGCCATACCCCTGCTTAGGTCGGGGCAGCGGGCAGCAGCTGTGGATGCAGCTGTTCTGGCACCTCCTGCCCAGGTGCTCTGAGCTCCACGGGCCCTTCCCAGCCGGGAGTGGTTCACTGGGCCGGGAGGCACTGGGAACCCCAGAGCCCTCGGCTCCATTAGAGCCCCTCACTCCCTGGCACTCCACTAAGGATCAACACCACAGCCCTCCCCCTCGTGTCCTTGGCTTTGGGGAGCTGGGCCTCGGACACCCTCGGCTCTCCCCACCTGTGGTCCAGATGCCACTGAGCGTGAATTTAGCCAGTGATTGGCAGCTGTGAAGGTTTCCAGCACCCCTGGCCCTCAGCACCCCCAATCCATACGGCAGTTATTCACACTGGCTAGGGCTGTTTATAGCCCCTCTGGAAACAGCAGCCGCTCCATTCCTGTGAAAGTGGAACACTGAGACATTAAAGAGCATTTTCAAAGGAAAAAAGTCTTCTCACGGACTCATGAGGTTGGCATCCCTATGTGTCTTCCAAAAATAGGCCTCCTGGCTCCTCCTGGCTCCTCCTGGCTCCTCCTGGCTCCTCCGAGCGGTGGTGTATCTCTTCTGTGTACCTGCCACCTGCTGAGCTAAGATGAGACGGCTCTGCACCGGACTCTGCTCCGCCCGGCCAACCCCGACACCCAGTCCTTCTCCAAACACACAACATCCCCAAACTCCTCCCTGGATAGATGTTCGTCGGATTGAGGCAGACAGCGTCCAGGGAAATCCCATCTACAGCAAGGAGCCAAGGACACGGTGACAGAGAGAAAGACATGACATACCCCTCGGGCAACCTCACGAACGAGCACTGTCGTCAGTCCCACGTGAATATGAACTGGTTCTGACCCTTCTCCCTGCCAGGGATGACAAGAACTGACTCGGAGGACCAATGGCCACACTTCACTACTGGGCAGTGGTCCACCTGCAGAGACACTGGGCTTACCCCTGCAGCTGCTCATGGGCTGCTACGTGGTTAGGTCTGTGTCGTCCACTGTCACCAGCTCCGGCCCACCTGCCTCTGCAGAGCCCAGACTGGGACATTATGCAGGGTCGTCCTGGAACCATCACCCCAGCATTCACTCTGTTTCTGAAGTCAGCACGAATCTCCAGTGCTTTCCCGGGATGCAGTACTGGTTTTTACTTGCTGTCTTGGTGGTTTAGATGCATCTCAGCCTTTCCTACCTTCCTTACTTTTATCCTACAGATTAAAGAATGCGTGTGAAGGTTCTGTCAACCACCAAGCATGTCCACTGCAATGATTCACCAGGAAAATGACTTCCCAGTGAACCCTCTGTAAGCCATATTGGGGCCAGGATCCAATATCACTGTCAGTCCAGACCCCGACCCAACATTCTTGAAAGGCTTGGGCATCCCCCCCATCCCGACCACCTACCTAAGTAAGAAGCAGTAGGTATCACCCAGAGAGGGTCTAATGTGGTGATTAATTTTTTATGTCAACTTGGTTAGGGCGGGCTACGTGGTGCCCCCATGTCTGGTCAACACCAGTCTAGACACTCCTGTGAAGGTATTTGCTAGATGTGATTAGCATTTAAAGGAACTGGCAGAAGTGGAGAACTGGGTGTCTAATCCCCGCTCCTGGTATGGAAGAGTTCAACTTGTATTCAAAAAGTGTGCTGAGGCCATATAAAAATATTAGAATTCACTACGTAGCCCGAAGGGATAAAGCCAAGTAGGAGTCCATAGGGCCACTCAGATTGTAAATGCAGATGTCGGCAGAAGCTGACCAGGCAACATAAATAAGTAAAACAGGCTGAATTTTCTCTTTCGAAATTAATACACCTGAATGTAAAATATACCCGCCCCTGCCAGTGTGTGGGAAGCTGTGGGCAGATCAGGAAACGACGTTCCCTCTGGGCTGATGTGGCCCTGAGACGGAAAGGGTCTGGCAAGCTCAATGGGGACCGTGTGTTGGCACTGACTTGGGCCCTCGTGTGCAGGGCATGGACCGTGCAGCGACGAGGCAGCCAGAAATATGTTCTGTTCCATTCTGTGTGAGGCAGGTGGCCCATTCCACCCGTTCCAGTCGCTTGCACTCACCGAGAAGAGCAGATGCGCAGGTAAGGAGCAGCTCACAGCTAGCTCGTGCCAGAGTGACACCGGGTGTGGAGGGGGAGCTGGAGACTGAGGTCCACTGGCATCGACCTGCCACGCCGTGGCCGGTGGAATGTGGACTTCATGGTGCTACTCCCTGTTTTCTCATGATATCAAAAATCCAGATTTTTAATATGAAATCTTCTGCTTAAAAAAAAAAAAAAAGGTTCAGTCCAAAGAAAACCTATCCTCTGGTTGCTGTTTTGCATCTGCAGAACATCCGTTTGCAACTTGTCAGTTAAACAGTAATACCCCTGGGTATAACTAGAGTCTGGTTCCATATAAACAGCATTTAGAGTTATTCTTTTTCTCTTCTTAATTCACTCTAAAAAAGTATCGAACTATTTAATTAAAAAAAAGAGAGAAAAAACCATTAAAAATGAAACAAGAGATTATAGTATAATAAATTTAATCCCAGACACGTCAACACTTACATTAAATATAAAGATTCTAGATACTTTAACTAAGATGATGACGGGTGTTACATAGAGGTAGGAAGAGTAAAAGAATAAGCCCTCCATGAGGGTTCCCTTCCTCTTTGTGACTTTGGTCTCCTGTGTCCCGCTGAGTTGGTATCTCTAATGCTGTCAAACAGATTAAAACAAAGACTTTCTTTTCCAGTTTTTCTGTTCTTTCGCGGGAGGGTTGGTCAAAGCTACTCTGCCTTTGTCAGAAACGGAAGTGCCCAGCACACTGTAACAATGAAGCAGCTCCCATCAGGGTCACCGACAAGCTCCAATTCGTCCCTTTGCTTGTGCCACTTTTCGGGGGAAGGCTTAGTGACTCTCCTGGTTGCCGGGTTCCCCTTTCTGATCTCTCACTTCTTTAGCTTCTCCCAGAATCTTGAAGCCTCATCCCATAATACTTAGTGGTTTTGCTTCCCTCATTGAATGCTGGCTGATAGTGTAAAATGTGTAACCAGTATCCATCATGGGAGGAGGGTTCGCACGTTTCCTAGCAAAATAATAACCAAATACTTTAAAGAGCCTAAAAGGGGCTGGCAGGTGGCGTGGTGGTTAAGAGTGCTGGACTCCCACATGGCAGACCACGGTTTGAGTCCCAGATCTGGCAGCTTGCTTTCTCAGACCCCCAACCCTACCACTCTCTCTCCCCACCTCTCTCTCTTACTCTGTCCCTCTCTGGTCAAATTAAAATAAATAATTAAATTAATAAAGTTAAATAAAATCTTTCTTTTTTTAAAAGAGCCTAAGAAATAAAGATGCTCATGAGGAGATGAAGCTGTGCTGCATTTTGTACTGAGCTTCATAAGGAGGGTTCTTTTACACATCAAGCGATGCACTGAAGCAATGACACGGTATGACACAGGTGTGCAACCCACAGTTACTGTTTGTTTGTTTGTTTTAAGATAGACTTTTGCTATAGGGCATGTGTGCTCACCACCAGAGAGACTGAGACAAAAAGTGAGAAATCGCCCCTGGGAGAATGGCCATGCTGCAGTCCCTTTTCCTCCATTCTTCTCTCGGGATTTGGGGCACACGTACACACACAGCCAGCTTGTTTTAAGCCACTGAAAGTCTGAAACTTGAACTGTGGTCGACTGACAGTTCAGTGATGTAACCATTACGCCATCTGCTGGTCCCCACCATTACTCTTTAAGGTAGGGACTGTGGTAGTCAAAGACAGCTAAGTCTTTTCTCCCTTTGTGAGCACACTGCCCTTCACCTCAAGAGGTGGAGTCTAATTTTTCTTCTCCTAAATCTGGTTTAACCAACAGAGGCGATGGAAATATTGCTTTGGAACTTTTGAGACTACATCATTAGAACCCTATAGCTTCTTCCTGGGTCTTCTCAGACATTCACTCTTTGATTATTCCTTTCAAGAGCACAGCCACCATATTGTAAGGAAGCCCAATGCATCTGTGGAAGCCATATGTCAACAGCCCCAGCTGAGCTTCCCACTGACCACCTGCATCAATGGCCAGGATGCAAGGAGGCCATCTTAGATGTCTTGCCCATCAATCCTTCAGGAGCCCACAGCCTCAACTGACATCTGACCATAACCACCTAGCTGAGTCTGGTCAACTCACCAAATTGTGAGATATCAAATGGTGGTTATAGTAAGCCCCCATACATTTTGGAGTAGTTTTGCAGCAGTGGGTAAGCAGAACAGTGGCACAGTTTAATCAGAAACATTTTTCCTTTCTTTATGACTCAAAAGAATAATGTACATTTTCAATGACTGACATCTTCCATTCAATGAAATGCAGTAATAACTTTCTTACTTATTTCATAGAATTGCTTTGAGAGTTAAATCTCTATACTAATAAAATCTATAATTATTTTCAGCATTTCTGAGAATAACACTGTTGACTTAAAGTAGATTTCCCTAGTGTTATTCCCTTACCATTTCTCTTGCCTTTTTTGTACCTCTCTTCTCTGTCTCCGCTTGCAATTCCAGGGATCCAATTTCATAATTCCATTCATTTTTCTGTTCTGTTCTTCTTCTTCCTGTCACTGTCTTTCCTCTTTCTCTGATTAGAAGGATCTGTATGTCAGTTTCCACAGTCTGTGATTTGAAAATGAAGTCACGTTGCCTTCAAATGCCTAACCTAAATTGACTTAGCAGCCCCTTGTTTCCTCAAGAACTTCAACCTTCTATGATCACTCCCAGGGAGTTTCAAGGTAGCACTTTCTCTTAGGAGTGGGTCCTCGCTTTCTCCCTTTGTGATTTCCTGATCAAATCACACTTAAGCCATCTCTCTGCAGCTACCACATCACCAACAGCAGGCCGCCAGCCTGGCTGCCCTCAGTCCTCACTCTCAGCCAGAGTGGGAGCACCTGCTGTCCCCTGCTGCTCTGGCAAATAATGCTTGGCTTATCCCCTGCTCCACTACAACCAAGCTGAAATTCCTTTTTTGGGCCTATGGTCTTTCCTACCACTTTCCCTCATTTTATTTTTCTTTTTTAAAATAGGCTTCATTTTTTAAGAGGGATTTTGCATGTGCTCATCAGAGACACCGAAAGAGAGAGAGAAAGAAAGAAAGAAATCACCTTCTGGGGAGATGGACACACTACAATCCCTTCTCCTCCATTCTCTTCTTGGGATTTTGGCATGCACACACACGCGCCTGGCATGAATTTTAAGCCATTGGGTCTGGGATTCGAACTACAGTCAACTACATGGGAGCCAAGTAACATAATTACTGTGCCATCTACTGGTCCCAAAAATAGACCTTATTTTTTAGTGGTTGAAGGTTCATAGCAAAATTTCATAGAAAGTGCAGATTCTCCAAATAATCCCCTGTCCCCAACAGTCTCCCCACTATCAATTCACCCCCCACAAGGGGTACATTTATTACAATTGAACCTACACTGACAAGTCATTATCATCTAAAGTCCATAGGGCTCACTCTTGCTGTTGTACATTCTGTGCATTCAGAGAAATGTATAATAACATGTATCCAATATTGTATTTTCACACAGAATATTTCCACTGTCCTTAAAATCCTGTGTTCCACATATTCATCTATCCCTTCCCCTAAACCAATGGAAACTACTGATCTTTTTACTGTCACCATGGTTTTGCCTTTTCCAGAATGTCACATATTAGTCCTCAATTGTATTGCTTACAAAAATTGCTTACAGTTCTGAGACTGGGTAATTTATAAAGAAATACAGGTTAATTTGACTCACAGTTCTGGTGGTTGGAAAGTTCAAACACACAAGGCTGGCATCAGCCCAGCTTATGTCACATGATGGCCGACAGAAACAGAGAGGATGGTGTGTGTGTGCAGAGAGACCTGGGGCAGTCTTCTTCCCCACTCTGACCAGAACTAACCCTTTTTTGTCAGAGCTAGACCTCACTGAGTCTTGAGAGACATCATCAATTGACACGTGAAGGCAATTCCTCTGTGATCTAATTACCACCCTCTAGGCCCCGCTTCCCAGCACCATTACATTGGAGACCAAATTCCAAAAAAACATGAACCCTTGGGGGACAAACCATTACCCAAACAGCAGCAGTCATCATTGGATTCATCCAGCACACAACCTTTCAGTTGGCTTCTTTCATTCACAATATGCATTTAGGATTCCTCTGCATCTTTCCATGTCTTGATCATTTCTTTGTTTGTACTGAGCGACATTTCACGATATGGGTGCCCACCATAGTTCATGTATTCATTTACTTATGGAAGGACTTCTTGTTTCTAAGTGTTGCCAATTATGAAAAAAGCTCCTATAAACATCTGTGTACAGGTTTTGGTGCAGACTAAATTTTCAGCTCATTTGGTTAAATACCAAAGAGCATATAGCTGGGTCCTGTGAGAAGAGTAGCATTCCAGTTGCTCCACATCCTCACCAGCATTTGGTATTGCCGGTTTATGGATTAGGCACAAATTTAAATTACGTAACTACTTTCCAAAAGCCTTCCTACTTCTCAAACACACACATGGACATGTCAAAGATTTTCTTGTGCTTTAGATATGGAGGCACAAGTTATTTGGAAGTTGTGGGAGCACAGATAAGAAGGGCACAATTCATAAGGGTCAGCTTGAATACAGAAATTCTAACTTTGCAGGACTTTTGACTTAACCTAAAGCCAATCTTTAAGTAGGAAACAAAGGCAGGGATTCTGAGCTTTTTGAGCCCAAGTGGTTGAGCCAGGGTGGGGCTTGTCCTCACCAGATGCCACCACTACCTGTTATGAAACCTTGCCAGAGAGGTCAATGCAGGGCGCGGACTCTTACACAGACCCTCCCACAGAGCCACAAGTTCCCCCTCAATCACCTGAGTGTATCACTGTACACAGAACTAAGACATCGGAGGGGAAGGAACTTCCCCGGTCCCCGCACTCTGGCTTCTCTTTCTTCGTCAGCTCCTAATGTCAACCACATTGAGTGAGTTTCCTGCTGCTTCTCCTTGCTGGGAATAGGAAAAAAGAAACTTAGGATACAGATTTTGTCGACTGACTGAATTTGTCACCAGGATGGTGATGGTAAGGAAAACACATTTGTTTTGTTTTCTTTTTTTTTTCAAATTGAGTCATATTGCATGGAGCGTCTTTTGTTTTCTTTAAGTCTATTTTTGAATCACCCCATCCCCCTGCTCAGAGCTGCCAGGGAGAAATGTTTTCCTGCCGTTTCACGATTGTTCTCTTCCCCCTCCACATTCCCCCAAGTCTGTTTGAGCTGCCACTCAGTGTGACGGACCTTAGCCAGCTTAGGCCAGGCAGCTGCGTTGTCAGAGGGAGGAGGGGTGAGGTGTGGCAGCGGAGGGTCCTCCAGGCAGGATGAGGAGGGCTGGGCTGCTGCCGTGGGCCTGCTCCGGCATACGGCGCCTGTGACATGGAGCACTCCAGTTCCACAGGGGTGCTGAGTGCCCGCTACCTGCAAAGCACATTTTAGACCCTGTGAAGGATGGGGTATGTAATTAGGGATGCGTCGATACGCGACTTTGCCATGTGCAGCTCACAGAGTGTGTTACACGAACCGAGCAGGCACAGCCTACTGCACTGAAGCTGTCAGAGAGCCCGTGTGCAATGAGGCTCCATCCACACGAACATGCCTGCTGTCCTTCCCCCAGCAAGAGACTGGCAAACTAAAATAGCTAATTTTTAAACTCTGTGAAACCACGTCTTCTTAAAAAAAAAAAATGAAGATCAAGCCAGCACATGCGTGTGGAAATGTGTGTACATATAAGAAAAAAATCTCGATGACTGACCAGTGCAGCCACCTGTGTAACCAGCACCATCAGGAACTAGGAGCCCACGTGGGCTGCCTCAGCCCCTGTCGCTGGGGGGGGCCTCATGTGAGCTGTCCTCGAATGTCATGGTCAGTAACTCATGCGACACTGGTGTGGCTTGTCCCTCAGTACTGTGAGGACCGCCCACGCGGCTGTGGGTATAGTCAAGTCTTGGTCCTGGTGCCATTGTGGAGGGTCCTCACATTATTGATCCGTTTTATTGTTGATGCTCACCTCAGTGTGTTCAGGTCTAGGTAGGAGATGAAACATTGACTGTTGCATCTACTGAAAAAACAAACAAACAAACAAACACATTTTTTTCCCCTAATTGGCAGAGGGTGTACATTCACTAGAGAGAGACAAAGAGACAGAGCGAGGGAAAGGGAGAAAGCCCCCCCAGGGGAATGGTCGTGCAACAATCCCTTTACTTCCATTTCTCCACCCTGTTAGGGTTCGGGCTGTGCACATACAAGGGCCCAGCGTGTTTTCCAAGCCACCAGGACCAGGATCCAGGCTGCGGTCAGCCGTGTGGGATCCAGCTCCCTTACCACTGGGTCACACCTGGCCTGATGGCTAGCGTTTTCCGTGCTCTGCGTGTGCTCTCTGTGCCTCGGCTTCCTCGTGAGTGAAAAGACAGGCTTGGAGCATGTAATGTTTAGGGTACTTCCAGCTACAAAGTTCTATAAAATATATTTAGATTTTAGTTTTTAAAAATTAAAAAGCTATTGCAGTCACTGATGAATTCCTTCATACACCAAGTGACAAAGCCCACACAACATCTGCCTCGGCATGAGTTCGCGATCTCAATCCCAACAACAACAAAATGTGCACGTGCTCTGTAATGGCCATTTGAGCAAAATGGCCGCTTGACGATGCTCTGCTCCCGGCCACCCTGCTTCTCAGCAGCAGGCCCAGGCAATGGCCGCCCACCGCGCTGGGTGGGCCGCGAAGGCACACAGGCCTGAGCCAAGGCCTGGGGGCCGCCCTCCTGGCTAGGGGGGCAGACACGCCTGGGCCGTGACCTCACTCTGGTCACACCCTCTGCCGTCTCCGCCCCGCCAGACTCCTTACAGCGCTCACACGTCCTGCGCCCACCGCAGGGCCCCGTCTTTCACTTTCTGTCTCTGAGGTTTGTCCTCTGTGACCCGCTGACCCTAGAAGGACCACCCCGTCAGGCTGGCTAGTTCCTAGAGTGAAGAGGTCACCTGAGAGTAGCTTCTACACACAAATCAGCCCATCCGGAGCCCACGTCTGACCATGCCCCACCCACCCCGGTCTCTCTGTCTGTCTGTCTCTCAGTCAGGCCACCATCTGCCTGCCCTTGTCAGCTGTGGCCAGCTACAGATGGCTGGGCAGCTCCGGCACCCCAGCACTGATGCTACCCACACTAGCCTGGCTGGCGGCTGTCTGCCCTGCCCTGGCTCCCTCCCAGGGAAACTGCAATGCAGGTTTCCGCACTCACCCACCCCACCCCCTGACCCACGGGGCCTTCCCTGAGTGGCCTGCACGGTGTGGCGTGCTCCTTCTTAGGACCTGTGAGTAACAGACGTAACCCCTCATCCGCAGTTCAGTCCTGCGGTTCCAGTCACTCACAGTCAGCCTTGGCCTAAAAACACGAGCTGGGTACAGTGAGATATTGTACAGTAAGTCATACACACACACACACACACACACACACACATATACATAGGCCGCACGCACTCACCAGAGAGATGGAGAGAGAAAGTGAGAAATCGCCCCCCAGGGGAATGGCCACACCCAGGCCCTTCTCCTCCAGTCTCCTCTCGGGATTTTGGGCACTGACACGCACCCAGTGTGAGTTTCAAGTCACTAGGTCCAGGATCCAGGCCATGGTCAGCCACGTGGGAATCCAGCGCCCTAACCACTACACCACCGCTGGCCCTGCAATAAGATATTTTGAGAGAGACAGGGCACATTCCCGTAACTGCCATTGCGGTACACTGCCATGGGTTTTGATGACACCGTGGCTTAGTGCTGCACATCTCTGGCTGTTCCTAATTAACAAACTGAACTCCATCGTATGCGTGTGCCTCAGACAGGGCAGCATATGCAGGCTGTGCCGCTATTCACATTCGGGCGTTCACTGGGGGCCTCAGCGGATCTCCCGTGGGCAAGAGGGAACTACCGTATGTTTTCAAGGATGCTTTCCATACTTAAATGGAACCTGTGTGAAAACACCCCAGCACGCGAATTTCCTGAACGTTACCAGTTTTGGTCCTGAGCCCCGAGGACCACTCATGGAGGCATTGTGGCTGCCTTTGCGCCTGCCTCTTCTCCGTCTGCCAACCAGGCTGTGTGAGATGTGTCAAAGGCTTACTTGGTCCCACACCTGGCTGACGCCATGCTGCCATAGAAGCAGCTTCCTCAGTTCCCGGGGGTCGAGGCACGGAGCCCCTAACACCCCACGTGAATGAGCCCAGCCCTTTGTGGTCTGCAGGCTTCTCCTACACACAGTCTCTGTTCAGCCACACACAACAATGGGACAACACGGCCGCAGTGCTGCGAGACCAGGAGGCCAACGCTGCTAGACGGTTGGTTTTCTGGATGAGCCGGGCAGAGTAAATGAAGAGAAAAGAAAAAGGTTTCAATTAGTTCAATGATGAACTTGAACAATCAGCTAATTCATAATGTGAAGGTCGTTTCCCTCTCTTGCGCCCCAGGTTTTTCTCGAGATCAAAACCGAGAGGTCCTTCTATAATAATTACTGCTGCTCGTATTGCATACTGAGTTAGAGGGGACAGAATGCTTCCGAGTGCATTCTCTAATGCTCGCCACAAACCTAATACAAAATAGATGCTTTGTGGATGCTTTTTATGAACGAGGCTCAGAGATGAAATATGTTCGAAAGCATCCTTGGTTGGGCATTTCTTATCAGAGTAATTAAAACAGCAATTATAAAATCTGACACGTGAAGTCTTCATTACAAAGAAGCAGTTCTGGCTCCTTTTTTTCTTTCAATTCTTTGATAAATTCTGTCCCTGCAACTGCTTCACCACCGACCCTGCGAGATCTCTGGATGCTCTGAGAAGGTGGAGACAATCTCTGATGAGACAGGAGCAGGTAAGGGTGGGGCACAGACATGCCCCGCGGTGGGGGTGGGGCCAGGGTGCAGGCAGCAGGGTGTCAGTCACAAAGCCTTCGCTCATGGCAACACAAACCTTTGGTAAAACCACACAGTTAACACACAAGACAAACCCCAGTGTAGCAGTAAAGGCGGGTGAGAACGCGATTCCATCTGCCCCACGTGAGTGCCCTCAGAGTGTACGAGTGGCTAGTCTGCACACGGACTTGCCCTGCGGGGCACCTCGATCTCCATTCATTCGCATCTGTCTCACCAGCACGCACCGAGCACACCAAGGTGACAGGGCACTTCACGGCCCTCCTCCCCCAGGTCCGGGTGAGCCCCGGGGGGATGGACGTTCTCCCTGAGTCTCACAGGGAACTGACCCTCCAGAATAGGGAGCAAACAGAAGGCCAGGGCTGAAGCCCAAAAGCCTGTTCCTCTCCAGAAGTCCTCTAGGCTGATTTTCCGGATAGATTTGTGCTTGACTCATTTCATGGCAATCGCATGACAAGTTGGCTGTAAGGTGTTTGTCACCAGTGGTTGTCCTCTCTGTTCCACAGGGCCATGTCCGCCTGTGCCACACCTGCGGCCACCCGGGGACCTGCATGCTTAGAGACTAAGTCCGGGGTGAACGGGAGGGTAGAAATGTATCCCAAGTCCATGCGGTCCCTGGAGAAGACAGCTCTGAGTGGGGAGTTTCACCTGGCTGATTTCGTGCATCACACACACCCTGAAGCCATGGGGGAGGGCGAAGAGCCGAGAAGATCCAGCACGGGAAGGAGCCTGGGCCACTTCCACCCTCCAGCCTCCACCCTCCGCCCTCCGCGCCAGCGAAAGGAGAGCAGCTGAGCCTTTGGAAGGAACAACACCCTAAATAGAGATGAAATTTCACACATATGCTCTGCAGATTTGCAGAAGGAGAAATAATAAAGCACTTGTGATAGCAAGTAGCCTTCCTTGTATTATTTCTCAAAGCCCCTAGATTTAACCCCTGTGGGGTTAGATTTAACTCCCAGGTTGCTCGAGCTGTTCATAAACAAGAAAATTACTCTAACGCCAAGGGGCTGTCGACCACCCTTTGCAGCAAGGTCAGGAAGAACACTCATCACTGCAGTTCAGGGCTTTACCGATCCCTGGCTGGATTTCTACTGGAACGAGGAAAGCGGCTCCGTAATACGAACTGTTAGATTGCTAAGGCTGCCGAGAGCAAGCCCAGCAGGCCAGGGTGATTTAAACAACAGCAGTTCATCTCCTAAGGCCTCCACGCTGCAAGTCCAGGGCGCAGGTGGGCAGGGCTGGTTTCCTGAGGCCTCTCCTGGGTGTGCGGATAGCGGTTTCTCCCCAGGCCCTCACAGGATCACCCTCTGCATGTCTATAGGCCCTTATCTAGACTCCAGTCCCACCAGAGGGTCCACTGCAACCTCACTTTCAACTTCATCCCCTCTTGAAAAGCTCTGCCTCTAAATCAATCCCCCTCTGAAGTACTGGGGGTTAGGACTTCAGCCTGAGTTTTGGAGAGACAGCCCTGCCTGCAGCATTCCCCAAACCGCCCTTCACTCAAAAGTGACGCTGTTTCTCTTTCCAGGCACGCGGAGGCCTACGTGGGGCTCCGGCTTACTCTCTCCCCGATGTTCTTCCGCACTCACTGTTAAGGCCTCGGCAAGGCCCTCCTGCTTCCCTTTTGTAACATAGCTGCCCCTTGGCATAGAAGTGGCATGCTGCAATCCCCCTCGGGCTTTTGGGTTATTTCCAATTCCTCAAACATAAACACAAAACCAAACAGAGTCAGAGCCCAGAGAACAGGTGGGTGATTCGGCCACGCTGGGAAGTAAGGATCGCAGTTGACAGACCTGGGTCTGGGTTAGCTCCACAGTGTCCCGGGCAGCCTTGGCTACCGGGACTTAATACTCCTGAGAGTTGAACTCCTCTGTAAAATCATCCTTTCTTGGGAGGCCACTGGGACCATCAAGGGAGAGAGTATTTGTAACATCTAGGGGAAAGGCTGAGAAGCGTCTCTCCCTCTTGCCCTCTAACATCACTGCACGTGGAATTGTGCTTCTTCCAAGTGCCACCCAAATTCCTTCCGCCTCTAAAAATGTTGAACCGATTTGTTCGACTTGTGCCTAAGTGTAGAGCCCGAGGCCAGCCCAGCTTCCACTGCTGTGTAGCAGGGCCCGCAAACGTAGGGGCCAAAGGCCAGTTCCCAGCACTCACCGATGCTGAGCCGGAAACACAGGGCACAGGGAGGACTCATCCCTGCTCCCCAGGACCCGGGCCTCAGCCTGGAGGACTTCAGGACTGGCCTAGGTCTTCTTTGCTCCCCGGGCTGGGCATCTGGAAGACTCGCTCAGCAGCAGCTGTCGACAGGGGCCCCTACACAGGGACTGCCCGTGGGCCTGGGCTTTCCCAGCACGGGGCCTCAGGCTCCCAGCCAGCGTAACCTTTCATGACCCAGCACTCACAGGTGGAAACAGGCACCTCCAAACTCAAGGGCAGGCACATACCCCTTCTCTCGGTGGGTGGAGAAAGGATGTCAGAGGATTCGCAGCCCCTCCAGCATGGTCAGGATGTGGTGAGGGCGTAGGGGCTAGGAGCAGGACACTCAGGTGCAGGAGTCTGGCCCAGCTCATGGGGAACTAAACACATCACTTCATTCTTTCCAAATATAGACAGGATTCACCATCATCCGAAGCCTGTTTCTCCATCTGCAAAATGAAGGGGTTGAAATGGATGCTTTAAAAGTTCATTTTAATTTTTAAAAATCTAAGGTTCCATCGAAACCGCACCCCAGTGACTTGTTAATGAGAACCTCTGCTGAATTGCTTGTAAGAATGAGCAAAGCTGGGCCCCACCAGCTGGATCCCGCCTCTTCTCAGACAAGGGCACTGTGGCAGGTCTCCTGCACAGTTGTCCCACGGCCGCGAGCTCCACCTCGCCCTGTCTCCGTTCACTCTGGGCCTCTGCCTTGTTCCCTTGGCCTCTCTGAGACTCTCCGCCCTCCCCGCCCTCCCGTTGGCTCAGCCAGAAGGCGCAGGACCGTGTGATGGATGAAGCGGGGCAGCTCCCTCCTCCTGGGGCCTGCTGCCACCTGCCCCCGCTCCTGCTCTCCAGTCTCAGAAGGCTGATGGGATCCGAGGACACAGGTTCTCACCCACGGGGCCGGGACACGGGTCACCCGCCCGCCCCCAGTGTGCCTCGCCTCATCTCGAGGGTGTCCTTGCTCCGTGGCACGCCTGCTCACGTGAGATAACACAGCCAAACGTCTTTTGGGCACGCTTCCAACACGATCACCATAATTCTCCCGCTCCCAGTACGGATCAACATTGCTCGATTAAACACATCCGTTTAAAGTAAAAGCCTCGTTAATATCCAGGGTTGCAAGCCCATTTCACTTGGATAACTGCTTGCCTCACTCTTTGGCTTGGTTTGTCCCTCTGCCCAACCCGCGGCATAGGTCTCCCTGTCACTTCACTTAGCGTCCAGCCTGGCCCTGCCTGGCCCAGTGAACCCATGCCTAAGACGGGGGTCGGGGGGAGTCCCAGTTCCCTTCTCTCCCCAGAAGACAGACTTCCCCATCCGTCCCTGGGACCAGGGCACCCAGGATATCTCAACTCTGGAAAGACGAAAAAACAAAAATAAAAACAGCATGACATGAAAGAGTAAGTAAAGGCCATGTTCTGCGTGGGCCTTGAGGGGAATTGTCCAATATCCATCAAAGGCCATTTAACTGCACTCTGGGCCAGGCCTCCACTGGGACCTTCACCAACAAGGTCATGAGTCACTGGGACGGCCTTCCCAAGAGAGACGGTGAGAATGAGGTTGGTGAGGAATAGGTGACAGGGTGGCCGAAGCTAGGATGAGGACGAGGACGGTGTAAGGGTGACAACAGTTTTGATCAAGATGGCGTCGGTCTGGCTAGCGCAGGCCCGGGTAACAAGACGGTGAGACTGCGGTGGTGTCCGCGTATGTGGGAGCTACTTCGGTCCTTCACCCTCTGCCGTCTAGGATGTGCCAGGGGAAATGTGTGGGGATGAACATCGCACGCCCTAGTTCTTCAAAGCAGAGGTTGAGGGGCATCTGACGCTGGCACTCTACGGGGGGTGGGGGGCGCTATCTGCAAACCAGTGCCACACAGCCCTGGGGGCCGGGGCACCTCTCCTCTGTATCGCTCAGCAGTGAAAAGCTGCACGTGGCGGCGAAGGCCGAGTGGGAAACTGAGGACGCCCAGAGGGTCGGGCATGGCCATCCCCCGTGGCTTCCGTGGGGGGCGGCTGCCGAGGACTTGTCAGGAAGGCCTGCGATGACTTAATGTCGTGAAATGAGCTAGCCCTGACTGGCACTGACTGGTCATTATGGCAAGGTGGGGTCCTGCAACTTACCTACCTGTGTTCGAAAGGCAGCCAAGTGGGAGTGCCAGGGTGGCAGGCAGAGCACCCCCACCCCGCCCTGCTGAGGCGACCATCTTCCCCTGAGCACAACCATTTTGTCACTCCACTTGTGGGTTGTTTCACCAAAATTTCAGCGCACCCACCGACAGGAGTCAGCACGCGGACTGCACCAACACTGACGTGCCCTGTCACGGCAGGATGGAAGAGTACCATTGGCTGGTTGGTCTTTTCCGAAGGCCCCTCCGACCTGCAGCCGGGAGGTGGCGGGGTGCTGCCACCTACCAGACGGGTTTAAAGCCGAACAGGAAGCCTCCTTCGCCTTGCCCGCGGCCTCTCCTGGAAGACCTCGGCCAACTGCCTGAAATGGCTTTCCCATGGGCCACTTGAGGTGGACAAACCCCCGACGTTGGGATCGAAATGAATCGGGGACACTGAGAGGTGGCTGCCACACCAGGGGCAGGTGGCTGTTTCTACGCTGGGAGCAGGCCGAGGGGGTCAGATTAGCACTTTACGGAAGATGAAGCCAGTCAGTGCTCCCGGATGGAGCCGGGCTGCACCTCGGGGCTCCACGCCGCGCCATGGCTCCATGGAGAGCAAGCTGGGATGCGAGACTGAGCGCCACCACAGCGTGTCCCACGGAGCTTAGCCGAAGCTAAGGGACCTGGGAATTTGTCCATCGGTAATGGTGACCCTGTGGACCGTGTTCATATCCGGTGTCCCTCAGCCTGTGTCCTCCAGACCCCAGGCCCTGCACTGCTAGCAGCTCCCAGGTCTCCCGCCTGTTCCGGCACCTTCCTGCAGCTGAACTGGGCTCCCTGTATAGGCCGCCTCCACCGATGGCCCACATTGTCCGGTGTGGTTGCTATGGTGAGGGTTACCCATGAGTACATGCAGAGAAAAATGGCCACATTTTAGCAGGTGTGCAGCTCTAGCACCACACACCAGGACCAACTTACAAAGTTTTCCCCAAGACTTTTAAAATAGGAACCAATATGAGACTGCTCAGAACTCAATTTCCCTAGCAACCGGAGAAATGCTATTGCCTCCTGTTGAGGAAGTTAAAAATAACACTGTGCGTGCCGCTGTAGCCAGCTGGGATCTCCAAACCATCTTCTGAAACGTCCCCCTGGTCAGAGCAGAGGTTCAATGCCCTAAGTCACCTTTATCATCAGGGTAGCCTTTCCAAGGCTCCAAGGGAATGTTTCCGTGCAGCATCAGGCTGGCCTCCTCTCCTGCAGGGAGAAGTCACAGTCGCTTGGTCCTTACGAGCAGGGTCTGCCTTTCTTCCTGCCCCTTTCCTGTACTGTATCAAAGCCCGGTCTAGCAATTGCTCAGAATTCCCTGGACAGACCATGTGCCCATCTGCCTGCCTCCTTCCTTCCGTCCTTCTTTCCCTCTTCTTTCTTCCTCCCTTTATCTCTTCTTCTTTTCAATATCATTATCAATTCAGTGCATTCTGATGATTGTATATGCAGAGAAAAATGTAGAACATTTCTATCACTCTAGAAAGCTCTCTCATGTACCTTCCCAGTGAGCCCACCACTCCCTAACCCAAAGCTAATCCTATTCTAATAGCTAGTGCCGATAGATTAGTTTTGTCTGATCTACAATTTCATGAATAGAATCACGCAGAATATATTCTTCTGTGTGTCCCATTGTATAAACTGGCCACTGTTTCGGGATACGTTCTTCTGTTGATGGACATTTGAGCTGCATCCAGTTTAGGATTGTCATGAATAAGACATTTGTTAATATTTTTGTGCTTGTCTTTTTGTGGGCAAACACCTAGGAATTGCTGGGTTATAGGGTAGCCCAGTGTCTAACTTTACTAGGAGCTGCCCAGCAGTCTTCCAAAGTGGCCGCGTCTTCCACCTCATCTACCATCATGAGTGACAGTTCTGGCTGCCCCACACCCTCACTAACACTTAGCATTGTCAGGACTTTTGTATTTTAGCCACTTTAGTAGGTGTGTCACAGTATGTCTTTAAATTTTTTAAAATCACATTTAATCACATATATCTTTATGGTGCATTAACATTTCTTTTTCCATGGGAACCAGCAGTTAGCATAATGGCTATGTCGCTGGACTCCCACGTAGTCGACTGAAACTCACGTCCCGGACCTGGTGGCTTAAACTCACGCTGGGCGCGTGTGCGTGTGTGCCCAAGATCCCGAGAGGAGAATGGAGGAGAAGGGATTGTGGCGTGGCCATCTCCCCTGGGGGGTGATTTCTCGCTTTCTGTCTCTATGTCTCTCTCTGGCTGGCTGGCAAGCACATGTGCCCTATAGTGAAATCCTCTCAAAAAAAAAAAATGTCTTTTTCCAGCACTATTACCATGCATATCAGTCAAGACAAAGACGTTACTATATACACTGTCAGCAGCAAATGGCTTTTCTCTTTTTTTGTCAATTTGGTGTACTTGTTTTTCTTTTTCTTCCCCTGTTCCCCTCCCTCCCCTGTATTGCTATCTCTAGTATCTACCATTGCCCTCCCTGCTGCTATACCTTCTAAACTTCCAGTTTCTGCCACAGAGCGCAGACAATCGGTGTATTGAGTAGGGACATACAAACTCCTGTTTCTAACAGTAAGGCAGTTTAGAGGCCTGGAACAACGGTACTGATCGAAATAATAAACAACATTGTTGAATAAATATTAGATTTCTCCTTTCTAGTGCCTAGCAAGTGGCACCAAGGCGAGAAATCCACAGAGAGGCAGAGGAAGCAAGGCCAGGGACCCGGGGCATTAGGCGAGGGTACAGCCAGTTTTCATTCACGTCTCTGCTGAAAATGGGATGCCTGAGCGTTGCTTCATAACACCGTGTGAGAGGCAGGGAAAAGCACCAGGCCCATCCTGCGAGGAATTTGACGCAAGATAGCCACATGAGGCTGGGGCCCCCAAGGCTATCCCCGAAGTGTTAGGTGAACTAGAAATAAACCTCAGGGTGCAGACGTTAAACAGGGAAACAAGCATCTAGACTTGGCACTGCGATAAAGAAAAGACTTTCTGCTGAGAATGCCTAACTGCAAATAAGATGTTCTCTACGGTCACCAAAGCCCATGAGTAGATCATTTGCTTCCTTTATGAGAGAGACAGAGGAAGAGAGGGAAAGGGACAGAGACAGATATTTTTGACTGGATCTCCCTTTTTTGCAATCCTCTTGCCCCAGCTTCCCGGTTAGTAGAAGCACAAGCATGCAACCATACCTGGCATGTTCAGGATGGCCCAGGAACTGAACCCAGGCATCCCATGCAGCTTCCGGCCTTCCAAACAGGGGCGGCACCTGTGTACCACCATGCTGGGCTCTACAGGTAGATAATTTTATTCAAAGTGATCATAGGTTGGTAACATATTCAGGGTACTGTGAAAAGCAGATGCAAATCCTCTTTAATAGATTTCAACATCAGGCCAGGCATCAAGGAATTTCCAGGGATAATAGTCCAAGGAAATAAGCTGTTCATAGCACAGATCACAGAACCAGAAAGAAAAAAGAGAGGTGTTCCGTGTGAGAATCGCAGAACCAGCAGACAGCCGAAACAAGTCCTCGAAGAGCATGAAAATGTAAGAACAGCAGTCTATGTTAAACGCCATGGACCTAGCTTTGCAAAAACAGAGGACTTCTAAAATTAAAAATCAATAAATGAAGTGGAAACACAGTGGCTAGATTAACCAGCAGGTTAGAGGTAGCAAAAGAGAAATGTAGTGAACTTGAACATAGGTCAAAGATACTTTCCAGAATGCAATTTAGAGA